GTTGCTGTGAGCTGTGATGCCACAGCACTCTACCGAGGGGGACAGCTTGAGGCTCTGTCTCAAAAAATAAATAAATAAATAAATAATAATTAAAAAAAAAAGAAAGATTAATTTCATTTATATTGTTTTTCACAAAGAAAGTACAATTAAAAGCTTTTTCCCTTTTTTTTTTTTGCAGTTTTTGGCTGGGGCTGGATTTGAACCCACCACCTCTGGCAATGGGGCCAGCACCCCACTCCTTTGAGCCACAAGTGCTGCCCTCTTTTTTTTCTTTTGTTTGAGACAGAGTGTCACTTTGTCACACTCAGTAGAGTGCTATAGCATCACAGCTCACAGCAACCTCCAGCTCTTGGGCTTAAGCAATTCTCTTGCCTCAGCCTCCCGAGTACTTGGCTATATTTTTGTTGCAGTTTGGCCAGAGCCAGGTTTGAACCCGCCACCCTCGGTATATAGGGTTGGCACCCTACTCACTGAGCCACAGGCACCACCCCAATTAAAAGCTTTGACTGGCAAAAGTAATTAGAAAAGCTAACAATTAAAAAAAATTAGTGTTATAATTACTGGGCGTGTATCCTGAATACAGAAAGCCTGTAGTCTGAAGTTCCCATTTGGAGTTGAAAAATAAATATTCAAGGCAGAAATGATGTGTTTGTGTATGTACAGCCCAGCAATGAGAGGATATACAGGAAAATTTAGGGGTACCTACATCCACTAAGAGAACATAGGGGCTGGCAAAAGCTGTTAAGTCCTGCTTTGTGAAATGTTATTAGTAAAATTTTTAAAATCAAACCAATAAAAACAGACTGGCATTCTTTCTTTCTTTCTTTGGGATGCCAGGCCATCCTCTCCCACCTTTTCTCTTCCCCACCATCTTCCATTCTCTCACTCCCTGCTATCTGTGTTCTTCTCTCTCTCTTTTTCATCTCTTCCCCCAACTCACTTCCCTTTGTCTAATATAAAATAAATTTACATTTTTCTATTCCAAACAAAAAAATAGAAACATTTTGTGCATTAAATTAGAAATAATTTAAAAGAGGAGAGAATTAAAATGAGTTTAAAAAAAAGATTAGTAAACTAAATATCCTATATTCAGTATTACATATTTTATTTTTCCTAAGTAGGAATTCCACAAATCATTTTCCAGAGAATCAAGGAAACTTTTGGGACTCTCCATTAAACCACACTTGTATTTAAAATGCTTCCAGGAATAATAACTGAAGTTACCATTAACCATGGGCCATGCATTCTACC